GACATTAAGCCTAGGACGATATTATGATTAAGATTACGGCTAAACATATCATAATAATAACAATAATCCTCCTGCCTGCTGACAATCAAACTTTTCTATCTAGTTATCCTTGCCCATGTACACCCTGCTAAAATCTCATGACAATGACTAAGCGTTTAAACTAGACATCCTGTCTCCACTAAACATTTCTAATACAACAACTATCTAACCCATATGTATCTGACTAAAAAGATACCCAACAGCACCATAAAGGGAACAAGCCACTGTGGACCCATGTTGATGTTTACACTCCCATGATCTAAACGGTCGTGTTCAGTGTTCAGTAGCCACTCTGTCCTACATACCTCAGCCCTGACAGCACTCCTGAAAAATACTGTCATGTCATGTGCACCACCTAGTGGCTTGCTAATGTTTACGTAACCTCCACTGTTACTGCTGCCCTCATGCGGCTCCACGTGCAGACTTTTTAATTCAGCTATAATCATGTCCAGAGATAGATACCATTGTCCATGTGGTGGAAAATCACTGATTACATTCACTCAAGTACTACACGTTTTAGTTACACTTCATTATATTTTATAATATTGCACTTTTTATTGCACATGTATGTGAAAAAAGCTGGTTACTTTTTAGATTGAGTTTACATTAGCAATATAAGCTTTTAAAGAGAATATCTTACTGACAGTAGTATACCAGTACTTTTATTCAAATGGGATTTTGCATGAAGGCCTTGTAGTGAAGTATTTTTATTCCGTTGTACTGGTATTTACATTTCTTTCAACTGTGGTCTCACCCAAGGAAAGTTTTTTTTTTTTATTTGTCTATTGTCGTTAAAAGTCTGTTATTCACTGAAAACATTTATTACATTTTAATGATTACAAACAACAGTAAGTCCCACCCCTGTTGGAACAGCCTCTCACATATTCATAAGGAAAAGAAACGGACACGAAGGGACAGGGACAGAAAAAGTGTGTATTATACACAATTCCATTGCTTCCATTTAAAAAAAAAACAATTGGTGCTCGTAAATTTTTGGCATCTTCTTCTCTCCCAATGTACACGCTGGAATAATGGTCATTAAAACTCAAAAGAACAAGGCATGCATAATAGTTTCTGGTAATGCACACAGATCAAAGGATGCCACTTATAAATACAAAATCCATGTACGATGTCCATGTACATTTCATATATATATATATATGGTCCCTTCTTACAGATGTCTTAGGCCTGGCTACCTGGTCCCATTATGGGATTATGTCCTCTCTTCTCTAGGCCCACTCACTAGATCCACCCTGTGAATAGGCTCTGCGCTGCAAAATACATCCGTAGGGTGCACTGTTGAATATTGACAGCTACTACATGTAACAACCACCTGTTTATTCCTCCCTTCATCTTACTGCACATTATCAAGCTATTTATTCCAAAGTGTCATTTATTTAAATACTTTTCTTTCCATTAACTGACCATTGTGCTATCTACATGATATCATCAGACCTTGCAGGGGTTGCTGCCAGTATTATTTTCTACTAAAAAGCTCCTCCAGTTGTTATACTACCACCCTGTGCTTCTCATCAAAAATAGGGAGCCCACTGTTTACTAGTATCCATTCAATGCTACTGTGCCCATAAGGTTTAAGTCTGGAACCCAAGTATTTTAAATTCCAAGTAACCTAAAGAAGAAGATCTAATTTCTGATACACTAAGATAAATGCACTGCTCCAGCCTCATGTCTATTGCGAGGGCTGTATATATGTGGCCACACTTTTTATTTATTTAAATCATGTAGAAAAAAAGAAATGGGACAAGCCAAGATGTGGTGATTAATTACAGTGTTGCATGAATGTCTGTACTGTTAAAAAAGTGTACTGCAATGCATGTTGCTTTCTCTCCCGAAGCTCAAAATGAACCAAAGAGTGGGGAGAGGCGCCAGCGATGTATGATATACCAATGGAATCATATACAGATTTACAGTTATAATGCATCTATCATCACAATGAACAAATGGCAGGGAGGGAGGGCAGGTACTGACAGACACGATATAGAAAAGATTCATCTGTTTGAATTTGAACACTCTTTACCGAGGAACCAATGGTTACTCTTAGAAAAAGAGAGAGAGATGGAAACAAACATGCGCATGCACATACAGGTATGAATGCTGTAAGTGCAGAACCAAATGTTCAACCAATAAAAGTCTATTGGGATCAAGTTGTACTGGTTTTGCTGAAGATGGAGGCAGACTTGTTTAACCAAACATGGGGCTGAGAATGATGCTCTGGTGACAACGGTGGGCTTCTCAAATGGCTGGGATCAGCGCCCTCCTGATGGTGATGGTGTTGTCGGTGTGTTACGGGGCTCCGCTGTCTTAGTCGATGTACTGGGAGAGCCAGCGGAAGCCCTCGCCGTAGCCCTGCCTCTTCAACACGCTGCACATAAACACCTCCAATGGTCTCGTGTTCAGCTCCTTCATAGGAATGTGGCCCTGAAAGAAAAGTAGTCGTCGTCACACTAAATACACTTTATAAAATTTGATTACAGATTTAAATTGTATGCAAAGTTACTTTCAGCTGATTCTGGGTAACATACAGAGTAATTCTGTCCCTCAAACTCCCCTAAGTTTGAGGAAATGTAACGGTCACTCCGATCTTGTGATCAAAACATTTAAAGACTAATCAACTCTTGTGGCGTTGTTAGTTTTGAGGTTGTTATTTGCCGGGAGATCAAATGTAAATACGTTTTTGAATATGTGAATATGTAAAATCAGGCATTGAGTTGCTCTTGAACTTGGAAAAACAGGTAAAGAAGGCAGCTCCTTCCAGATCATCATCTAACCAGAAAGGTCTGTTTTGACACCATTACTGACTAACTTTTCAGTGGCTATGTATTAGACTTCTTCCTGTATATCCATTCAGTCAGTTCTTTGGTCAACATTTGAATGCCATTTCCCTTTTGTTTGTGTTAGACACTTTTCTGACATAATTCGTAGGTTAGGACATTCCAAAAAAAACAAAGTTAAGTATTAAACACACTGTCCCAACAGATAACCGTTGTGTCTACTCACCTTGCCGGTCGTCTGTCCATACAATCCAAACAATTCCCTCAGCTTCTCTTCACTGATGGCTTCTGGTCTGTCAATCTTGTTACCCAGGATCAGGATAGGCACGTTTCCGATAGTCTCGTCTGTCATTAATGCCTGGAAGAGTAGAGCACGTATTTCTAGATGGCTTCCATTTTTATCCCCAAGATGAAAACATCTGCCCTCAGATAGCACTGTATTACAGATCACTGAGATGTAGGTACTTACATCAAGTTCGGCTTTTGATTCGGCCAATCTGGTCAAGTCCGCACAATCCACGAGGAAGACGATGCCATTAATGGCAGGGAGGTAGTTTTTCCACACTCTGCGAGCTGTGTGAACCAACAAACAAACAAGTTTACAGTCTAGTCCGTCTGCATTATATTATATTGGCCATATGTTGGCAAGTGTGTTTGTAGGCAACAATGTCCTTTGTCAAATTGTCCAATGTCAAATTACTGCTGCTTTTCCCACATGGGTCAGGTATACTGGATTAAATAAACCTGCTAATATCCCCATCATTGTATTTCCAGATCATAATAGAAAACAGGCGTCGGATCTGCACTAACACATGCCTCGACCAACAAACCAAAAACATTGGTATACAGAACACACACCTTGTGCGTGACCTCCAAGGTCGAAGGTGGTGAAGGTCATGCCAGCAATTGTCAACTCTTCTGAGGCTGGAGGAAAGAGAATGATCATGATCAGTTCTGAGAAGTTAGGCGGCCCAAAGGTCAGTCACTCACAAACGCTATCCTGACACAGTGTGGCTTTGTTTGAAAGTGTTCACTATGGCAAACATAAATGTCTGTGATATAAGCGTTATAGAGGGGGGCGGGGCATGACCCAGGGTCCACCCTCACCAGGGGGCCCATAAAAATCACATCCTAGTGTCCTTTTTTAAACTATTTCATAATTTTTTTTCCCCAGTGATTTAAAAACAGAACTGTATTCTGTAAAGCGAGATTTAGTATTGTGCAGTGGGTGATTCATCTGCCGTTGTCCTATAGCCTACCTCTGGTCTGTGGCATTGTAGGGTTCATGTGTTGTTGCCTTGAAGGGGCCCCTGACCCTTTGAATTGCTGTGGGGTAGACTCCTCAGCCAACTTTAGCATTTAAATACATTTTTGAGAAACAGAGTTAAAAGATTTTTCTGAATTCTTAATTTCATAATGAGTTTGATACTGTATAGAGGCAGTAGTTGGGCAAGGAGTTTTTCCCAGGGATAGCTGGTTCCACTGTGCCATAGTTTAGCTACAGAAGCTAAACTTCTGAAAAATGTTAGAAAACAAAAATCTGGTGTTCAGATGCAATAAGGTAGAGAAGAGTTTTTACAAGTTTAGACCTGTGTTTTCTGTCTTAATTTTACTGAGTCGAGTTCACCAGGATGAAATAGAGATGGGTGGACATCTACAGCTGAGCAGTTGTTAGGCTACATTTGTCTGGAGTAAATGGAATAATACTTTGTGTTTCTCAGAGACAGTTCAGCTCCAACATAAAGAGCTATACAAGTGAAAAATCTGCGTGTGTGTGTGTGTGTGTCCATGTTTGCGAGAGTGACAGGAATGTGAAACTAGTTTAATGAGGTGCAGGCCTATTTGGTTTTCAGCTGATTTGATTCTTACTGTGTTAGGATGCTGCTGGTTTTACAGAGTCAAATCTGGTTTATTGAGAGACTTGGGGTGTACGCTGTCCTTGGCTGTTTGTGGTGCAGTAGCACTTGGCTGGATGTTGCCGTTTCATGAATATTCAGCTTTGGCTGCTACCTGGCAGACAAAGCTCTTACTTTGCTTCTGGACTCTGGACAGGATGCACAGTCTGACACTAGAATTCGATATCATACGAGAAAGTAGACTTAATGTTGAATAGCAGCAAAGAACATATTAGATATGATAAATTAAAATGATACTGTTCAATACAGCAACAGGAAAATTAATGACTAGCCTGTATGACTATTTTAAAGTCATAGCCAGCATGTTGAATGTGGTACTTCAAGGAGTAGAAAGATTATTTTAAGTTACTGCACTGTACCACATATGTTCCGCATCCAGAGTGACATATTATAGTAATATTATACAGGGCTTAAAATAATCTGTGAACTGGGTTCTGTTTTTTATGATCCAGCAGATGTACCTTTGGCCATTTCTGTCCTTTCTTTATAAACAGTATTATTGATTAGGTTATTTTAGCTATTAGGTGACTGGGCCAGAGGGCCTACAAAGCACCACCCTCCCTCTGTCAGTAGGTCTGTCCCGCCCCTGAGTGTGAATAATCAGTCCGCTTTTATTGCATTGATAGCTTTCAGTACATAACTGAGTGAGCATGTGTGGATGTGCATGTGTCAGAGAGAGTAGCCCACCCACTCACTTGGATGTAAGGTTGGCACATGCTGTCCCAATCTGTCATCTTTGAGCATGTGCAGTAGCGTTGTTTTGCCAGCATTGTCCAGGCCAAGAAATACTAACTTGCCGGATTTCTTGTACAGTCCTGAAATAAAGCCAGAAGCTTTTCAGAACACAAGCCTGAACACCAGAAATCTTGTTTTGATAGGCTGCATCAAAGCTTAGTCTTTGGAACTGTCACACATATGAAAACACTGCCGCATATGAACTCAGGCTCATGATCTTGAAGGTGTATCATGAGTTAAGAACTTCACTATAAATGTGGCACTTGACTAAAGACAGGCTCAGGCTTCTCAGGTTTCAGATCTCAGTCATGCATGAGGCAGTTCACAAAGTGTCCTTGATTCATAATGAAAACTGACAAGTGGCGCTGCTTCACCTAGTGATTTGACATTCTCAAATTTCTACTTCACATTATGAAAGTAAAAAAAAAAAAGTCACCCCAGTGAAAGAAGAACAATGCTCTTGTACTTTTCTGCTGAGTGGAGCTGTAAAACGCAAGTAGAGGCTGACACATAATTCAATGAAGGATGGCATTCAGTCACATCGATAAAACCCACAATTCTTCACAGTAAAACTACTTTAAATTTAAAATTCATAATGTGCTTTATGTTCCAAAGAAGATTTTTCTCTTGCTGTCAGTTACCACAGATGGGTGCACAGACCACCTCGAGGAAGAGGAGGAATTAAAGTCCCACCTTCCTCAGTTTTCCTGAAAAGATCCCAAGGCTTTATATTTACACTCTCTACGTCAGCACAGAGTCAGCCAGTGGATTTGTAAAATTTTTGACTGAGTCAGCTCTCTTAGGTTCCATCGTTACAACAGCACAATATAACCTGTCCAACAGGGAGAACAGGCGTGACTGCTTCACAGGAGCAGCTACGACACAGAGTGCACACTGGAGAGCAGCTGTTACACATAGCAGATCTAAAACTGACACTTCCATCACAGATAAATTTTAAAAGCTGAGGTGAAAAATGTCATATTTCCTTTATCTGCATTTCATGACACAGGCCTCTTGGTGGATGTTTTTAACTGAGCCACCTTAGGGGAACATAAGCAGCACGTGTAGCCCCAATGGGAGACAACCCCATAAACCAGCTTGTGGTAGTGCTGTAACCAAGAAACTACATTCAGGCTAAACAGAAACACATGGAGGAATAGTTGCCAGTGAGGATGGTTAATTTCTTATCACATGGATCATGTAAGAAACTGGTCAGGGTGAAAAGGGCCTTGTGGTGTCTTTGATTGTGAAATAAGCTAATGTGTTGTGCTTGGTGAGAGCTTTAGCTGAGGACACAACTTTGCTGAAAATGTTTTATTACAGTATGTTG